CAAAGGCTTTATTCTCATATTCAAAATAGGCGCATGTGGCCTACCGCATTTGGAGGCGTTTTTAAACGCCTTCAATCACAAAACTGTGTCGTTTTAATTTAAAAAATATGCGACGTTTTTAAACGTCGTGTAAACAAGAAAATAACTAGGGATGTGAACAAAAGAAAAAATAAGGTACCGAAGAACGAAGAAACTATCCCCACACATCAAACCTAAAGACCGATCTTTCTTCTGCCACTACCCATCCCCTATTGGATTACATACTTAGGTAGAATATTGAATAATGGACATAAACAAAATGCTTTTGTAGATGTACTTACAATATGTATATATTTATTGCTTTACATTTGTCACTTTGTTCAAATTATGCTAAAGACTAAACTGTTTTCTATTTTTAATATAGATCAATTGATAGTTTTATGAAGAACTTAAGTTTAGGTGAAGTAGTTCAGATCCTTGGGTTTTATTTATTTATTTTTTTTCCAAACATTCAAGTGGTTATACTCCTTGATTTCTAAGAAATAAATTGGGGGAGATTCTGAGTTTGAATTTATGGTGAAGCATCGAATGTTTATAAGTAGTAATTTAACTTACTACTAACTAATTAACTAACCCACTAATTTTGACACCCGAAAAAAAAATGTAATTTGATATTTTTAGAACATTTAGAATTAGAACATTGATATGCATTAAGGTATATTTGTTTTCTCACGTGGCTTCACTTTTATGCTTGGATGCAACCACCCTATGTACAAGGACCAGAAACATCCACCTTACAAGTTACATTGTGTCATCATTTTGAACTATATTGATGTTTTTTCTCAAGAATTTATGGCAGACTAATGTAAGAGCAATTATTGCATACAAGGATGACAGTAGCTCTTTAATTTTATTTCTTTCTTCTCCTTTTCTTTTTATGTTCTTTGCTGATTCAAGTACAGCTTTAATATGTCAGGTTTTGATTCTTTTTGTGGTTGTCAATCAATCTTAGGATATGGAAACGATTAGCAATAGACTTCAAAAACTTTAGGCTATGTTTGGTTCCAAGCCCATTGTTATTTATCACAACATTATGCAGTAAAAGTTATCCAAATTGTAGTTCATTATTCAACACTTTCAAAAATATCTCTCTCACTAATGATATAGCGATACAGGACAATCTATATAAGTTAATCAATATCATTGTGGAACCATAGCAATATGTATTGCAATAGACTTTAACCGGAAACACTGATATTCTTTTCAACTTTATGTCATGGAACATGGTTAAGGATGATTTTCCTGGATTGAAAAGCCAATCCAAAAGCAATCAGAATATTACACACATTTCTCTCTTATTCTGAATTTTATAGACCAGAAACTGGACATCAACTGCATTTTGCTAAAACTTATCTCTTTTCTGCTTTACTTCATGCTATATTCCAACACCATATAAACCTTCCTAACTGAATAGTCATATCTAATCTGTTCTAATTCAAGATTTCTAATAAATATACCTTGAAATTATACAATCCCTGTCCTGCACAAGCACATTCATGATCTTCGTCCTGTGCAAGCACATTCATGATCTTCGGTTGCAAAGTAACACATCTCAGAAAGTTATTCATGAATCAACAGTAGCATTACGATTTAGTATAAATGGTTACAATTAATGCTTTTCAGACATCCATGACTAGTATCTACTTAATCAAGGTATATGAAACCCAATGTTTAATTTCCCACGTGATCTAATCATATGCTTATTTGACTCTAAAATCCCACAGATGTTCCTATACAAGATGAGCTCATATTGTGTTGTGTCCATAACATGATTAGGGTCCACTTACACAAGGCATATGAAATCTATTGAATTCCCAAGTGTATCTAGTCATATTCTTATGTCATTCAAAAATTTCAGAAATTGTCCTATACAACATGAGATCGTATGAAATATCGCAATGGTCAATTGTTGATCCTCCACCGTAAGAGACTACAACCCCAAATGTTTACATAGTGCTTTACATGAATGTGTGTGTGTGTGTGTATGTGTGTGTGTGTGAGAGAGAGAGAGAGAAGGGGGAATCCGAACATACCTGAGATGTTTTACAGATCGAAGAGAAGAACCAGTCTCGCCGCCGAATCGTCGAGCCGTCGAACCAGTCTCGAATTGTCAAGCGTTGCTGCCGCCGAACCGGTCTCGCCGAACCGTCTATCGCTGCCGCCGTCGGTCGTTCCCCTTCGAAATCTGGCGCCGCTGAACCACTCTCCCCTTCGAACCTTCTCTCTTATCCCTCTCTTCTAGGTTACCTAATTTACAGCTTTCCAACTTCCTTTTAGTATTCACCCAAAAAAAAAGTTCCTTTTAGAACCCAATTAGAAGCCACAGTTCGTAATACATTTGTGGTCATTGGCGCTTTTATTTATTTTTTTTTTAATACCATTCACGATATAAATTGTGCATTGTGAAAATTGAAAGAGGAAATTTTGAGAGTAACGAGGGGTTTACCTCCTAGAAAAAAAGAGAAAATTTTGAGAGATAACTTTTCACCGCCCCAATTTTTAAAGACAAATCATCGATAAAAAAAATAATTAAATAAAAATAAAACAATTTTTAGTTCTTTTAAAAAAATTAAAACTAATTTGAGAATTATAAAAATTAGAAATATATTTTTAAATTATTTATGACCTCCTAAAAGATAAAATTATACAAAAATAATAAATATTTTTTATTTTTTCACCAATTTTTTTTTTAAGTTTTTCAAGAAAAAAAAATCTGAAATAAGTTTCTGAAAATAAAACCAAATATATTAAAATTGATAATCTAACATTCTTTGGAAAGTTTAGATTATCTCAAATTAGCCATCTCAACTTAAGAGTGTGTTTGGGCTTGATGGGTTCATTTTGTGATCTAATTTGATGATCACTTTTATTTTACAATTCAATAACTAGAATATTTAAAACTCTTTGAAAAGTCATAATAAAAACACAAATCACTAAATCACCTGATTTCACTAGCAAAGTTTTTACCAACGAATAGTGTTATCGTCGCTAAATGTTTAACTCTTTGCCCACGCCAACTAGTTGTCGCCAAAAGTAAGCACACTAATAGCGACGCTTATTGTGTTGCTAAAAAATAAGTCTCGTAGCTAAAATTTTGGAAATTTTGGTGCCAATCAATAATTTTGGCGCCTAGTGAATGTTATACTCTTTTAGCAACGGTTGTAAATTGCGTCGGTAAAGGTCTACTTTTACCAACGAAATTGATCACTGTGTCGCCAAAAATATACTTTTGCCTATGAAAAATTGACGTTGTCGCCAAAAGTAGTCGCCAAAAGTGCAATTTCTTGTAGTGGATGACATATATGTAATTATGGTGTTTACTTGCCATTTCTCATACATTAAAATTCGAACACTCGGACACTTACTCGGACCCTCGTGCTTAGTGGCAGATATGTAATTTTGGTGTTTGCTTGCTATTTCTCGTGCATTAGGGTTTAAACACTCAGACACTTAGCAAAAGAGTTTAAAAAAGGCCTACAATGTATTAGCGACCATCTTACCGTCGCAAAAAAAAAAAAACAAAACAAAAAAAAATACCTACAATCAGATATATATATATATATATATGCAAATATTATATACAATAAACATAAAGACATATTTGCAAAAATCTCAACATTCATGCATTATTTTCCATTATTTAAAAAGGCCTATAATGAGAACTTTCGCTTTTGGAGATTATGGGGCAGCCCAAATCCAAGCATTCAAAACAAACAATAAGTCTCTCGAAAGAGAAAAATATAAACATGTAGAGAATATTGCATTAGACATTGATTTCAACTGTTCCAGTGAGGTCTTCCAAGTAGAAATGGCCATCCTCTAACTGAGATATAACGCCCATGACCCATCTTCCCCATCTTCCCCCTGTTAGCCCAATGAGACTCTGAATTGGAGATATCTACCCAACATATACACATAAATAAGCATACTTTAATTAACATATGTCTCTCCAATCTTGATATGTTTATGTGCAAAACAGAGAGACGGATAACCTCACAGCTGCCGAACTGAGACCTTTTAGTATCAAATGCAGGCTTAGAAAAATGCTGAATCCTTTGCCACAGAGATCACTGTAGACTGAGATGCTGATAAAAAAATCACTGCAGAATCAGACTCAGGTTGGTGGACGGGTGAGGTGTGGGCCAGAGACAAAAGCAATTGCATCTCGACTCTGTAAAGCACTACAAGGAGAAGTGAAATGCACAGAGAAAGATGGGTACAGGTTCTTAGAAAGACCTGTGACTTAATGATCGATCTGGGCCAAGATAGAGCAGAATGGGAAAAGTGGAAACTTCCAGCCCAATCCCAAAATTTGAATGTTAAATTCCTTCTTCAGAACATACGGTGCCTTAATTTAATTTAAGATGTGAAAAAAGCTCTTACAGAAGTGTGATGCTGGGAAGTTAGCATAACCAAACAGAAGATGACCACATATCAGAAACAGGGTGAGAAAAGAGAGATTGCTTACTTGACATGAATAACATTCTGCATCACTCTTCATGGCAACACTAATAGATGAAGCAACAAGTCATACATTTCGCAGTCAGGAAAAAAATATACAAACAAAAAACAAAACATCTGGCTTATGGCAGCATAACTCAATCCCATTCAGCTAATTTTGCTAAGAAATTTGTTGAGGATGTGCAACAAGTTAAGGGGATGGACTAACCAACCGGTTCTCTAACACTTGCCAAGTGCATCCCAGAAATTTGGACTTTGTTACCAAGTATAACATGAAGACAATGATAATCAATTATAGCTAAGCTACACACCATAAACAAATCCCAAGGGTAAATCAGTATTAAAAGTAGCCATGCCTGCAATCAAGTAACTATACATACAAACTTTTCGATAAGTAGTTGAAAAACTATATCTATGTCTAAATATATATATCTAACACTCCCAACACTTCTAAACAGCAAATGTAGTGACAAAAAGGAAGAGTATATTCAAACCTCTAGGATAAACAACAAAATCAAGTCACTCTTAGGACCTATAATACAATTTAAACATCCCTAATCCATACGAATCAAGCCAATTGCAAAGACCATGTAGCATGAAAAGTAAGAAAGTCTGAAGAAAAAAAGTTCCTTGTGCATAAGAGTCTCAGACATTTGACCATAGTGGACAAATGGACCCAAAAATTTTGGCAGAGCTAAAAGCTAATCAGTAAGAAACTTTACTCTATTTTCAAACCAATAATAATAATAGGGAGTATATTTCATTTACACTCTGAAGAGCTGAGAAAACTAAATAAAAGCAGAAACAAGAACCTGAGATGAAAACCTGTTTTGCAAAATCCAGGCCAGCTTCACGGAATGCTTTTTGTACTTCCAATAAACCATTTCTTGTTTCTGGAGTGCCTCCACTCTGAGTAGAATTGGAACCGGAAACATATTAGCAACGTGTTTTGAACTGTGATTTGTGACGACTAACACAACAGCAGCAAAAAAAATGACTTCCATGCAGACCTTTGATATAACTATTACAAGCGTAGAAGCCAACTCAGGGCCAAGCTGTGCAATCTGATGATCAATGCCAGCTGGATCTGTATTGTCAATGAACCTTATCTGCAGAAAGGACAAAAAATTGTGACAAGCATTAGAAACCTCATTGTAAAAACAAATGTTCCAATACAAGTTCATTATATACCTTGAGAGGAGGATTATCAGGAGCCAACGCCTCTGCAACAAACTGTGGTCCAAGGGCAGAACCTCCAATTCCAACAGAAAGTACTTGTGTAAAGCGACCCTCAGGAGAGGTTGGGGGCTTAATCTATGGTTTTAAAGCCAAAAATAAAGCACGGAAAATTGTTAGAACTAGAGCTCTGCCAACAATGTCATGCAGAAAGTATCGTAACATCCTAGAGATAGTAATGAATTAGAACATGTTTATGAAAATAAGTGCACATTAAAAATATTGCATTTGTAATTTATTTGGAATAAATGCATAATAGTACTCCCTGATCTTCATACAGAAAAAAGAATAACACGAATTCAGCAAGTCTCAAGTTTCCTCTGTTTGATTCAGTAATCCAAATAAGCAAACCCTCAGTGCATAAAAGTGGATCAATGGCTCGTGATAGAACTCCTCACACAGCTAAGATGCAGTGTTAAGCAAATTTTAGTTTTTCATCCTCCAAAGTATAAGTCACAAATGGGTCAATGGAATGAATGTTTCCTTCCTTCCATCTATTTAACGAGCGCTCACAAAAAAAGAAAAAAGAAAAAGAAGAAGATAAACATAAAAGAAATGTGATTTCCACCAAAACATAGAAAGGAGTCAGTATAATCAGTTCTAATAAGCAGCCAAATCAACTTCCAGTTCATGCCTCTCCAGTCCATCAAGTAGAACCTTTTAGTACTTATGTCTCGTTGATTATGGCCATACAGTTGTGCTGGAGGTTTAAAAAAAAAATGGCGAGCTTAATTCTGCCATTCTGGGATGAATTTTACATTATTGAAGCTGTCCATTAGTCAATAAAAAGTGGCTGTCTGTTCTTTTATTTTGCACATGAAATTCAATCATGACAAATTAAATGCATGCATGAACATCCCATTGGCATGCATTATGAAGTGCTCCACTGCGTATTATGAGGCATTTGAAGAATAAATTAATCTCTCCATTGCAATTGAAAAAAGTCACAACTCATTTCTAAGGCAAAAGCAGGAGCACATGAAACAAATCAAATGAAATGATGAACTCAAATCTAGAGAAATCTACATAAATCACCTATGCTTGTTCTTATGACATCTTATTACACGTCTCAGGCTGTATTTTCATTATCACATTCACCAATTGAGGGAGATAGAAAAAAACACCAATTGTCTTAGGTGGTAAACTTCAGGCTTTCTAAAGACATAATTTTGGTGTTATTAAAGATCTAGATATAAATCAATTTGATTCCATGAGCAATCACTGCAAAATCACATGGATACAAACAAAAAGAAATTATAAATTAAACTTTGATTAGGTTAAAACAGAGCACACGCCAATCCAATTTCTATACATGTAGAACCACAGAAATCCATCACCGATCATGACTATCAAACTTGGTATAAATCAAAGTTACTCAGCAATGAATGAACACAGATATATATATATATATATA